ACTGCGCCACCAGGGAAGTCCCGTCTTGACACTCTTGTTGAAAATCAATTAACGTAAAGGTGAGATAATTTCTAGTTCTTATTCAACTTTTTGTTTTCCCCTAAGTTTATAATTACCTCTTTTTCAAAATATAATTTTCTATGTATCTAGCTCTAATTTTTTCCGCACGTCGCATCAGACTTGTAAAGTACTTGTTCATATTCTTTTTCAAATACTTAAACATGTCAGATGCTTTACAGGTTTTTTTCCCCCCTCTGGAGACTGTCCTGCAGTTTCCTCCTTCTCCTACTTCAGTCAGGACAGGTTGTTTCTGGGTCTGTGGTGTAGCTTTCATTCCAAAGATTTCCTTCACCAGTTTTGTGTGTGGATCCAGCATTCCATTCCCTAGCTCTGCTGCCTTTCTCTTTCCTGCTTACCAGAGCACATCTTATAGTAGCCTACTTGGAAAGAGAAGTAAAAATGTTCACTCCTTGCATATCTGAAAAATGTCTATATTTATCTTATATTGGTACGTATTGGTCTTATATTCGTTTGGCTGGTATAGAATTCTAGGGTAATGATCATGTTTCTTCAGAATTTTAAAGGCACTGTCACATCATCTATCTTTTAATACTGTATTGAGTTGCCATTCTCATTCCTGTTCCTTTCTCTCTCTCTCTCTCTCTCTCTCTTTTGGGGGGGGCCACGTCATGTGGCACGCAGGATCTTAGTTCCTGACCAGGGATCCACCAGGGAAGTCCCTTTCTCTCTTTTTGAAATCTTTTTGGATCTTCTCTTTTCCCCTAATATTCTGAGATTTTACAAAGATGTGTCTTGACGTGATTCTTTTTCTTTCACTATGCTAGGCACATAGTGTACTATGTAATCCAGAAAGACTTGTTCAGTTCAGACATTTTTTCTTGTATTTCTTTTGTAATCTTTCTCTCTCATACCTTTCTCTCTTTTTAGAACTCCTATTAATCAGATATTGAACTATTTGGCTTGATTTTCTAATTTTCTTACTTCCTATTTCCATCTTTGCTGGCTCGTGCTCCTGGTTCTTTGCTCCTTATTTGTTTCCCATTTTTGACCAAAATCTATTTTTCTTGGAACTGTATCTGTGGAAATTCCCCAAGGCCTAGATTGAAGATCAGCTCATCCAGAGATGATCTGCATTGTTTCGGCTGGTGCTTGGTGGCACTGTCAACCTGGAACCATTTTAAATTCTTGCTATTTTGTTTTTCAGACCAACAAGGAATTCAGGCAGAAAAGTCACAGCTTTGATTATAAATTATCTGCATATATTTAAAAGAAAAAAGAAAAGATCTCTAGTAGGCACTTAGATTCCAGATGAGCAAATTTTCTATGCAGTCCCCTAGGGGCAGTTCAGGTGTTAGCATATTTTAAATCCACTCTTACATGAGGATATAGTCTTCTGGGGTTCTGGTGTTATAGTGGGGCCTTCTATTAGATTTCCAACCCTATGCAGGCCCTGGGTTCTGTCTCCTATGCCACAGTGGCACCCTATGAGGTCACCATGCCTAAATTCAACTTTTAAGCAAACGCCCTCAAGGCAAAACAAGCTTCAGTGCTCAATTTACCTCTCCAGGTACCAGCTTTCACTTAGTTTTTTGGTCCTTAAATAGTCTATTTTCTTGCCAGTTTACACAAATGCATTTTTAAAATGATCTATTAGGCAAAGGACCTAGAATAGCTAAACACATTTTGAAAAAGAACAGTAAAGTGGGAAAAATAATTCTACCTTATATTAAGGTTTACCATAGCTACAGTAATTAAGATAGCATGTTATTGGCAGAAGGACAGACACATAGGTCATGGATCTGAATAGCAAACCCAGAAACAGACCTGCACAAATATGCCCAACTTATTTTTGACAAAAATGCAAAACAATTCAATGGAGGAAGGATTGCTTTTTCAACAAACAGTCCTGGAGCAATTGAACATCAATTGACAAAAAAAAAGGAACCCCGACCTAAACTTCACACCTCATACAACAATTAACTCAAAATGGATTATGGACTTACATATGAAACAAAACTGTACAACTCTTAGAAAATAAAATAGGAGAAAATTATGAGACTCTAGGGCTAGGCAAAGTGTGACACCAAAAGTGATGCATTAAAGGACAAGTTGATAAACTGGATCTTAAAATTAAGAACGTTTGCTCTACAAAAGATTCAGTTAAGAGGATGAAAAGACAAAAGACAGACTGGGAGAAACCGCTTATCTGACAAAGTACTTTATCTAGAATATTTAAGGAATTCTTAAAACTCAAAGGTAAAAGAAATGAACAAGCCAATTAGAAAATGGGCAAAAGACATGAACAGATCTTTCACCAAAGAGGATATATAGATGGCAAATAAACACATTAAAATATGTTCAACATCATTAGCCATCAGGGAAAAACAAAAATTAAAACCACAATGATATATCACTAAATAACTATCAGGATGATTAAAATTTTTTTTAAAAAAGTGACAACAACAAATGCTGGTGAGGATGTGGAAAAACTGGATTCCTCATACGTTGCTGGTGGGAATCTAAAATGGTGCCATCATTCTGGAAAACAGTTCGGCAATTTCTTATAAAACTAAATACGCAAAATTACCTTATTACCCGGTAGTTGAACTCTTGGGCATTTATTCTAGAGAAATGAAAATTTATGTTCATGCAGAACTGTACATAAATGTTCATGGCAGCTTTAATTTGTAATAAGCCCAAACTGGAATCAGCCCAAATGTCTTTTAAGCAGGTAAATGGTTAAACAAATTGTGGTATATCCGTACCACGGAAATAATACTCAGCAATGAAAATTATTTATACACACAACTTGAATGGATCTCGAGGATATTAAAAAAAGCGCCAATCTTAGAAGGTTATAGACTGTCTGAGTCCATTTATATAACAGTCTTGAAATAAAGGTATAGAGATGGAGAACAAATTAGCAGTTGCCAAGGGTGCGGGATCGGGGTGGGTGTGGCTATACAGGGATAGCACAAGGGAGCCTTGCAGTAATGTAATAGTTCTGTATCCTGATTGTGGTGGTGGTTACAGGAATCTACACACACATTGCATAAAACTACACACACACACAGGCGCGCGCGCACACGCGCACACACAAATGCATGTAAAAGAGGCAACATCTGAATAAGCTCTGTGGATTGTACCAATGTCAATTTCCTGGTTTTAATATTGTACTGTAGCTAAACAAGATGTTACCATTGGGGGAAGCTGGGTGAAGGGGTACCATTGGGGGAAACTGGGTGAAGGGGTACAGGGGAACCGCTCTGTACTTTTTTTTTTTGCCACCTCATGTGAATCTGGTGGGCATATTTAGCCATTCATGCTGCCTGAAACAATTCCTTCCATTCTGTTTGTCTTTGAGGGTTTATAATTTGTTTTCAGTATTTACCAATTTTCATTTTGATGTAGTTTCAGAAGGGGCATGGGATAAACACATATGATCAATACATTGTGTTTCTAATTGTTTAAAGGTTTTAAGCAGCGTTGTAACATTTGGGTAGACCACCCTGGTGGTTTCTTAGAGGATGGTTATAAATGAGGGCAAGATGAAACAGAAAGATATTATATTTCATTAATTTTAAGAGGCACTTGGCACTTTTTTTTTTCATTTTAACATCTAAATTGGGATGTTTGACTATAACTATTAGCCAGAACAGTCATACTGTATTTGTCACACTGGCTCATAAGAATCAAACTTTGCCAAATGGGTGTCTGAGGCTTGGAGGAAAATTCCAGAGACAGAAAAGGAGCATTCCTTTAAGAAATGCTGCATCACCAAAGCCCCTGATGGCATGCACAGAGGACTACATTGTGTGGAAATCATGCACATGAGTAAAAAAAATGAATCAAGTGTCTGAATGTGAAGTTTTATGAACACTGTTACCATGTTACTCTTTTCTGTTTTCCTTTTTATGTATTTTCACGAGAGTGAGGTATGATAAAAATCTACATCTATAGACACCTGCACTTTAAATAAATATAAAATAAAAATTCGAAGTGATAAGAAAGCATTATGTCACAGTTGATTTGCCACCTTTTTACTTATCGGGACATAAAATAATAGTTTTACAACCGAGGGAGTCCAGGTAAGGGATAATAATCTGAAGCGGGACAGTGAGACGAGGGGAGAATCCTTGAAATCCTAAGAAGGAAAACTTGAATTATTAGAGGACAGGTAAAGATGAACGGGGAGGAAATCTACGATAGTTTCCAGGTTTCTGGTTTGGGCAACTGAATCGATGTAGTAAGCTACCTGGGAGGGATAGGACGAGCAGGTTTGGGGAGCGGCAGTTAAAATTAGGATACACTGCGTGAGGGGCTGGTTGGCTGTGTAGAACGGATGAACGGAGCTCTCGTATTTACTTTGGCCACGGGAGCCTGCGGCTCTGCCTTGATGGATTCAGCCTCCTCAGTGCTGTCAAAGGCGGGGAGGTGGGGTGGAGGCCGGCCAGGTCCGAGCGCCAGCGCAGTGCCTAGACCACCGAACCTCCGCCGCTCCCCGGGCTCCAGAGTCCAGGCCATAGCGAGCCGGAGCCCGCCCCCGCCCCCGCCCCCGCCCCCGCCCCCGCCCACCGCTGTCAGCGGAAGCGGCGTGATTGGCTGGAGACGCCGGCGCCGGCGGCCGCGAGCGGGCCCGGACTTAAGGAACTGCTCAGCGATTGGCTGGGAGGAACCAAAAAGGCCTAATTCAAATTGTTGGAGCCGCCCTTCCAGGGAGCGGGCGCCTAGTTCCACCCCGCCCCGTCGCTTAGTTAGACAGGTACGCAAACCAGAGCTGTATTGGTCAGATCCTTCCGGCACCGCTCCTTACCCGAGTCAGGATGAGAAGAGAGCTGTGACTGGCAGATTTTCAGGGGCGGGCACTCTAGGCCTTATCCGGGTTTCGCTTCGGGACTGGCACCTGTCCTGGGCGTGGATTGGGCCGCAGCGTTGTCAGCGTGATCTGGGGGCGCGGCCAGCGCTAATAAAGACGAGCCGGGGGTGCAGGTGCAGTCAGTTCCACCGCAGCTAGAGCTCCGAGTGGCCGTCTAAAAGCGGAGCTCGGGGGTGCGGTCGGCTTCACCGCAGTGTTCTCCGGCCGGGTGTCTCGCCGCAGCCTCGGGAGGGGAGACGGACCTCTCCTCCTTCTGTCAGAGACATGTGAGTTGACCCTGGTGTGGGGGGCGCGACACCTTGCCAACTCTCACCCCAGCGCCGGACTCTGCGGGACCGAAAATGGCGCATTGCAGCAGCTGCGGCGACGCGGGGAACCACCGCCGCGCGCCGTCCGCAGGCCGAGCCACCCCCGGGGAGGGGAGGCAGCACCCCATTCCTGCACCAGCCGCAGCCGGCACCCCATGGGCGGGGCAGGGGCGCGGGGGTCCCACATTCATTGCCCCCTCTCCCCTCACCTGCGAGGCTCCTCAGTCGAGTCTCGAGCGAAGGTGGGGCGCGGAGACACCCGGGAGGGGGCTCCAGGCCCTTTCTTGTCGTTGATTGAAGCTGTGCTTGGGGCCTCTGGAAGGACAGTCATGGGTGCACCTGCCAGTTAGTAACTTGGGTTGCTCTGCAGTCTCTAGCTTTGTGTACGCCCCTCACCCCGACCGTGACGAGTAGCCCCCGCTCTTGGTAGTGAGCAAAGCTCCAGAAACTTATCTGCCAGTTCTCTGGCGCCAGGTGAGCAGCTCACAAAGACTCAAGGGGCAGTGGCGTGTGATTCCAAGCATCCATTCATCCCAAGGCCACCCGTATAGGAGGTGTTTTCCTGTCATTGAGTCTTAGCCAAGTACTTGGAAGAGAGATAGAGCTAAGGATCCCCCCCTCCCCTCCCTGCCACCTTCCCTCAGTACATTCAGTTTAGTCTCAAATCATCAATTTAGTCATCTGACCATGGTCACCCCATCCCAAGATCCTGAGGGAGAACTATAGCTAGACAAATGGAGAACTTCCCTTTCTTTCTTGGAGTCCTGGCTTGGTCCTAGATGTATTTGTGTTGCTTCTCTTGGTGACTAAAAGGGAAAAGATTTACTTACGTTACATAAGGGTTATAACTATCCCCGGATATGTTACTCCTGCGTGTTCCCAACTCCCAAGAAGTAATAAGTGAAATGGTCCCTCCAAATGCTTTATAACGATTTCCCTTTTTCTCTGTTTGATTTCTACAGTTTTAACTGTATATGACATTCTACGCGTTTTGGCCAAGCCCTAGGATTCCTTGTGTTTTCATTTTGGGGAGGGGGAGCCTCTTCAGCTGACTGGTTCCCAGTAGCATCCATGTGGGATGAAAGGAAGGAGATGGGGAAACCGTGGTGACTAGAAGGGCATCACGAGGTCTCTGACCTTAATCTTGTCATTGGTGCCACCAGCCTGGGCTGCTTCCAAGACTAAACGCTGGCTACTTCCTACTCCTTGAATTTTCTACTTTCACCAGAGAAGTAGATTGTGTAGCACAGTAGTAGCAGAGGAGTCTGGTGGCCGCCATAGTGTGTTGTATCTTTCCTTTGCCTCCTTTGTGCCTTAAAGGGCAACGGGAAAGCGGTTCTTTTAGCCAAGATGAGTCAGGTGTAATCTGCTAGTACAACCTCTCTGAAGGGTTATTCTCTTTTGAGACTGAAATTTACTTACTTAGAGAGGAGGAACTTCTGGGTATTAGTTCTATTGTGAGTAGTCAAGGCTTTTCCTTTTTGGTGACTTTGTGATGGTTTCATCCGTAGTGCATTTACTCTTGGACTGCTCCTATGAGGTAGGCTTTGTGAGATTCTGCTTCTGTTTGAGGAGTTCTTATTGTAATTTCTTTTCTCCATCAAATTGCAGAGATCTCTCTCCTACCTGTGACTTCTTCCTTGGCAGAGGAAATCTCATGCCTTAGGTTAGACTTCAGGGAATTCTTGAGGAGGTGAATTTAGCTTCCATGTGTTGGGACGTGGAGAGGAGTTTATTTTGAGGATCCCACACTGGATTATTCTCCCCTAAGGCTAAGGGAAAGGGAGTATGGTCTCTGTGCCTAGCAGTGTAAACCAAGATTTCTAGTTGGGACATCAGGAACTAGGAGAGTCTCCTGAGACTGGATGCCAAATCTAAAAAAGGAAGGGACAGGCTGTCTCTGGTGCATGTACACTGAGGACCATTTCCAGTATTTTTGCCCCCTGTCTATGCTCTTGGAACACTTTCACAATTGACACAATTGCTTTGGGCCCCAGTTCTATCTAAGTGAAACCCCAGTCTTCTCTGCCAAAAAACAAAGCAAGCAAACAGTCCTGACTCACTGCAACTACAGAGGCCTTTGGTGATTCTCCAAGTCGTCCTTACAGTGGCCACGATATACTAATCATTGCATGAAACAACCAATAACTGGCTCCCCTACAGCAGAGTCTGTCAGCTTGGCCTTTCTTTTTATATTCAGGCTTTGCAAAAAAAGAGTTGTTCAGTCTGTAAGCTTGTCCTGAGGGTTGAGGTTTTTTTTGTAGGCAATTCTCCTGGATTGGAGTTTTCCAGTTTGACTTCATGTGGAAAAGGCTTCTGGGAGGCAGAGAAATGCCATTTAAGCCAAGACTGGCCCATTTGTCCCTGTGGCCATTGTGCCAGAGGATGTGTTTGAGTTTGGGTCAGAGGATAGCCCAAACGAGAGCTCTTGATGCCACCCTGGATGTCGCTGAGCCCCATCTGTTACAGGATCTTTCATCTTTTGCTTTGGACCTCTGTGCTGCATCTCCCCACTTGGTATTGCCAAGGAGCTGGAATCCCTTCTACTTGCATATAGCCGTATCACCCTTGCTTTGGTGATAGGGGTGAGAACGTATGTGATTCCTTTCTTGTCTTGGTCACTCTGTGCACTTCTCTCCGCAGGTCTGCGGCAGCTCAGCCACCCACCGAAGGGGCAGAAGGGGCTGCCCCAGGTGGGGGTCCCCCTGGCCCTCCTCCTAATTTGACCAGTAACAGACGACTACAGCAGACCCAGGCACAAGTGGAGGAGGTACGTGGATAGCTTTTTCTCTAAGGGTTTCCAAGTCACGGAAGTTGGGAAACTTCTCTTTATCTAGAGGGGCAGCTAAAGGCTCCGGGAGACAGGGCACCCCTTAGAGTTAGGCAGGGCAGACTTGCTGTTCTCTCCCCGGCTCTGGGGGAGCTTAGCCGCTTTGCTCCTGCGCCCTGCTCAGGTGGTGGACATCATGCGTGTAAATGTGGACAAGGTCCTGGAGAGGGACCAGAAGCTGTCAGAGCTGGATGACAGAGCCGACGCTTTGCAGGCGGGCGCATCACAATTTGAGAGCAGCGCTGCCAAGCTAAAGAGGAAGTATTGGTGGAAAAACTGCAAGGTGAATGTTCTTGTCCTTACTCCCTTATTTTCCTGGGTCTCAACACATAGGAGGCGGGAAAACCCTCAGGTTCCACAATCCTTCCCTCTCACGATCTGTGCCCTGCAGGACTCTTGGGAGGCAACCTGGGAAGCCTCCTTCTTGAGCTGCATTACCCGAATTGGCCACCAGGGTACGCTAAAGTGCTCAGAACCACTAACTGAGGGCCAGGGGAGACCCTGAGGAGTTTGGAGGGGTTAGTCAAGCTGCCTTTTCTCAAAGGACCCCGGGAAAAATTCTTACCTGACCCTTCCTGAGATACACCAACATCGACACAATGGCTGGGGTAGCTATATATTTAAATACCTGCAGCTTTTGGGAATGAGCTGAACACTTTTTGATGAAAAACGAACCAGTTGACTAAAGATCCGAAGTCTGCACCTGCTCTGGTGTTCCTTTAAAAGCCTCCAGGCAACAGGAACTAGGAGAAAAGGAGCAAGCTGCAGACCCTCTCATGTTTCTGAGAAGCTCCAGCTGTGGTGCAGGGGTTACTGTCTGATGGGGAACACGAGGGGTTGGGAGGCCTTCGGCTGTCCTGGGGGGCGTGTGGCTTCTTCCGCCGTCTGAGTCCCTGGTCCTGGCTCCTGCCTCCTTCCCCAAATCCAAGGGCTTGTTTTTTGTCAATGTCTCCTCAGATGATGATCATGCTGGGAGCCATCTGTGCCATCATCGTGGTAGTTATTGTAAGTAAGTATCGCTGAGGTTGCTGGTTGGGGTGAAGAGGTGGGAAGGTCCCGGCGTCGCCTGCCTGCCTGCCTGGGGAGTGGGGCTGCTCTGACTGAGGTATGGAGATCGTGGCCAGGGAAGCACCATCTGGTGCGGGAGGGCGGGAGGGCAGAGGTGAGGGACTTCCTCGATGGACAAGCCTTCACTCTGCAGGACTGTGGGGGAAGGTGGTGGCTCCTGTTCTGAGGAAGTGGGCTGTGCTTCTTCTCACTGGCTTGGGTCAGAGGGAGACCGTGGGGATGGGACACCTACAACTACACCTGAATGTCCAGTAACCTGATGTAATTTGCCCTCTTGTTTTCTCCTCTTTCTCTTTTCCATCTGGGACTTCCTGACTCCTGTGTCCAGTCTACTTTTTTGCTTGAGAATGTGCCACCCCTTCCCTGTTCTCCATTGCCATCCAAACTCATGCCCTGTCCTGCTGTTTCTCCCCAGAACTTCCCCGTCTGCCTTCCCCCATCCCAGCCCTGCTTCTCCATCGCCCACTCCTCCCCTTGTGTTGCTTTCATTTGCACTCTGTCCTGCGACACTGGAAATGCTGCTTGTGGTGCAGTCTTGAATTAACTACCCGAAGAACAACAGCTGGCACCTCCTTCCTACCCTCTCATGTTCTCTCAGGTTCCCCCAAAGACAAAAGGAGTTGGAGGCCAAGGGATGGGGAAAGGGGCGTAGCTGAGGTGACATGCTCAAGAAGGGGCCAAGACTGGGACGAGGAGAAGAGTGTTGTGCCCATGGTGTTGCCAGAAAAGGCCAGGCTGCTGGCCGGAGGAGGCTGGGAGCAGCTGGGAGGATGCCCCCTCACCTCTCCTGTGCCAGGCCTGCAAAGGAGCCTGGGCCAGGCCCAAAGTCCAGCTTGGTCCTGGTGCAGGACTCTTTTAGAAAGTCAAACCTGTTTTTCACAGTTATTTCCCATCTGTTAGTCCAAGATCTTCTATGTCTTCAGGGATCTTACAACCTTTTACTTTGTCCTCCAGAGACCTGGAGAACACGTATTAATAGCGAAAATATCAGGACTCTCGTTCCCATCCTAGAAACAGTCCCACAAGCTCATACCTGGAAGGGGCTCTTGTCCACGTTTTCTACAGCATTCTGTATTGCTCGTGAAGGCATCAAATAATTTCATTTAGCCAAAGTTTGAGCCTCTCAATTTTAGTTACTGGCATAGATAATGAGAGAATGCCCATCAGTTATAGAGAAACAGCGAGTCAAGGGTCTAATCTGAAAATACCAAGCTTGGAGGAAGCCACTTCTCACCCTCTTGTTACAAGCGTCCTGTACCTCCCTTGCTGTTGATGGAGGAGGATGAGATGTCGGAGGGTAGGAGCCCTGGACCCTCTGGGAGCCCTTCCCCCGACGCCACCCCCGTGTACTTGCCAAAGGCAGGGCTGAGGAGAGAGGCCCTTCCTGAGGCCCGGCTGCTCCTGAGTGTTGGGAGTCTGGTGCCCCCGCCAGCCTTGGGGCGGAGGTGGAGCCGTCAGCAGACGGGCCTGCTTGTTGACTGCTGTGCCACCACGGCGCCTTCTCATCTGGAGCGGCCTCTCTGTTCTTCCAGCAGTATGTTCCCCTTCCAAAGCACCCCTGAATTCCCTTTGCCTTCCTCCTCTTTGCATGGTTTGTGGCACAGACAGTGGGACCTGGGGATGGAGCTGCTCAGCCTGTCTTGGGGGCCAGTGCTGGGCTTCAGGAAAGGGCACTCAGTGGGACAGACCCCGGTGAGAGGGGAGGAGGGCCGGCTGGGAACAGAACGGGGACCACCCCACGTCCCTTCGTTCCTTCCATCCACCAGTCCACCAGCAGGAGGAGGCTGGGCCAGGCTCGCTTTCCACGCAGCAGCATTTCGTTCCGCAAAACCATCCTTCCTCTCCCTTCGCCCTGTTCCCACATTCCCTTCGTCCTGCCCCAGGGCGGGATGGAAGAGCTGGACGAAGGCAGTCTGTGTACCCTCCTAACGGCCAGAGGCCCCTCGAAGGCCTCCACCCTCCTCTGGGCTCCCCTTGCCTAATGCAGGGGGTCACCGCTGGAGAAGAACCACCACTGTCCTCGATGTGTCCCAAGCCTGGAGCAAATCCGCCCTCTTGGCCCGCCCCATCACAGGAATCACTTCTGCGTTTCTGTGCCATCTGTCCCAGGTGTAGTTGGCTTTGTTCTTCTGGGGACGTTAGCCCTTCTACTCTCTTTCTCACCCTGCCCTGTACCCCCCTCTTCTGTGTCTTTGCCGCCCCCCTTCCCTCTCACCACCCATGTGCATGAGCAAATATGCAACTAAGCCTGGGGCTTGGCAGTCACGCGAGGCCGAGTCTCCTCGGCCCCTCTTGGGTTTGCCGTGGGACGATGTGGCGTCCCCACTGTGTGTCTGTCATCACCTCTCTGTCTTTTTTTCTAACCCCACTCTCCTACTTGTACAGAAATAACAGCTGTACTTCCACCAAAGGCATGTGGCGTATTTACCAATTTCCTGTATTCTGAACAAAGGCAAAACAAAAATACAACTTCCTACCACTAAACCGACTTGGCTGTTGTTTGGGTTGGGGTGACTGCAGCGGGGCGGAGGCGTCTTGTTTCTCTCTAGTTCCTTTCTGATGGTGCCCTGCGCCGGAAGGGTGGCTTTCGGGTGCTGTCGGTCTTCTCGAGAGTCCACAGCTGGGTGCTGGCAGAGGAAGTGATCTCTGCTCTCAGCCTCCGTGCCCGAAGCAGCCCAGCTCTTCAGGTGTGGGTGACAGGAAGCCACGGCAGGAAGCTGAGCGGGCATCTCACGGACAGACACCCGCAGATCTTCTTAGACATCTGCCGCCTCCTCCCTCCAGGTCCTGGGCCAGGCCCTGAGGAGGCCCCCAGGGGACACGCTCTGCTCCCCACCGTCCCCATGCATAGCCATCTTCTGCCAAGTCCCACTGTGCTGACCAGGCCCGTTTGAAAATGGCTGAAAGGAGAGCTCTGTCCCCTGCGGCCGAGGCAGGGGTGTGTGCAGGTGTCCTGAAATGCCCAGCAGTTGTCCACAGGTACAGGAGCTTAACGGCAGCTCAAGGTTACCCTGAGCGACTGAGGGGGGGCCCCAGGGCCGCCTCTGAGGGTCTTCGTTTCACACCTCAAGCACTTTGCCAGCCAAGCGGCGGGGCGGGGTGGGCCCCAGTGTGGGGAGAGACAGGAAAGTGGAAAAGCTTTGCTTCCGAGGACATGAGGGCTTTTACTGGGACAGAGTTCAACGATTGTTCGTGGCCCTCCAACCCCCATCCTGTTCCACTGTCCCTCATCCGCTCCTTTCTTAATTTTTTTCTGCTGTATGTTCCTACCACCGCGCCTCAAACCTGGCTCATGTTTTAACCTCCACCCAGACCTCCTGCCTTCCTGCCACCCTCTCACCTCTTCACGCTTTCTCCCTTGGGTGTATCAGCCCAGGGCATGCAGTGAAGGAAGGCAGAGGCCTGCAGAAATCCAGAGCCAGTCAGTGATCTGTGCCTTCTTCGTATCTTTCTCGGGGCCTCTTTGAGCTCTGGGACTCAGCTTAGAGTCCTTCTGGGAGAATGTGACTCTCTCTTATATCTAAGGCAGCAGAGTGGCTACCCGGAGTGCCTCGGGGTCCTGGCAGGCCTTGGTGAGGTAGCTAGGAGAAAACGGGAGGGAAGGAAGTTGGTGTCAGTTGGGGTAAGCCCAGGAGCTGGGGGCTGGGGGGGCCGGCTGGAGCTCTGGATGCTTGCGTTTCATCCCTGGTCTGGGTGTGGCGGCACTTAGAGCAGCTGGTCTCCAAGTGAGTTTGGTCAGGGCCAGAGCCAAGGGTGCGCAGGCTCACTCTTACCTTGGCGTCTCTGCAGTCCCAGGAACAGCAGTGCCAGGAGGAAGAGGCTGCTGGCAAAAAGGACTCCAAAGGCCGTCCTCTGCTCTGTAGGGGACAGAGGTGTGGACGGGGATCAGTGGCGGGAACCATACTGAGCCCTCACGTGCAGCGTCTGCCCCGGCAGGAAGGACAGGGCGCGCGCGCCTGCGTTCAACCGTCCCTGGTTGAGGAGCTCCCATCAGGTGTTTTCCCGCTCTCACCCAGGGACCAGCACACGGTGGCGCTGGGGCCTGCTCGGTGGACGTCCGTGTGTCACTCCACACGGAATCCTCTACCTCTTCCCACCTCAGGACAACCTTTTTTCAAACGGCTTGGGAGATTTAGTTTAGATTAGCTGGTGATAGTTAAACTGGAATTGTGTAAACAACTGGGAATGATGTAAGCTGAGGCAAAACCCCAGTTTCGGGGAAGCTTACAGTCTCATGAGCCACCAAGTAAGGCATTTCGAGGTGCCGACTCTTTATGGTATAGGACCTTTCGAAGACATTCTGTGGCCTCGGGATGAAGTTCCAGCTTGAAGGCCTGTTGTTATCTGTCCATCAGTAGCAGGAGGGGGGTTGAGGCTGTAGGGGAATCGCCTGCCTATTTTCCACATTTTCTGTTTTACCATTTCCTAGGCAGGTGACCTTGGGCAAATTACCGAACCTCTGCAAGTATCAGTTACCTCTAAGATGGGGGAGTGAGGACCTGTGGAGGCCCACATTTGAGGGCTCAGTGCCCTGCTGGCTTGACGCAGACGCTCAGTGAACACCATCACCTCTCAAGCTTCACGGCCACAGCCCCCTTTCCCCACGCACCCTTGCCTCTAGCCGTGTAGGCCCCCCAGTTCTTTCTAGCCTGTTTTATAATGAGGCCTTCACACATGACGTCCCTTCGGTCCTGGTGTTCCCTGCCCCTGACCCAGCTCAGCCGGCTTGCAGGCCTCCCCCGGGTCATCTTCCCTGACTGCCTAGTCTGTCCCTCCCACTGGGCTAAGCTCCTCGAGGGCAGGATGAGGAATTGTTCAGCCTTGGTCTCCAGCTCTCAGTAGTGCCTGGTACCCCAGAACTCGGGGGGTAATAAAGCCTTGGAGGACGGGGTGGGACCTCTGGAGGCTGTCACCTTGGGAAAGAAGCAGCCGACACTGTGGGAAGCAGAACAAGGCCAGAGGGCAGGAGCCGTGAGCCCAGGTGTGGTGGTGGGGAAAGGAGGGCACTCCCATACCTGGTGGGGCAACCCAGGTGTTGGCCCCCAGGGGCTCCTCCAGGGAGACGTGGGTGACTTGGCAGGTGTAAGTGGCACCCACAGAGCCAGGCTCTGCCGTCAGGGAGGAGGAGATGCTGTAGGTGCCTGCCATGCTCTGCCGGAGGCTGGAGAAGGAGGCGCCAGAGACTGGGGCCGGGGCTCCACCCAGCTCCTCCCGGATCCACGTCACCGTCACATCCAGAGGGTAATAGCCAGTGACACTGCAGAGGAGGGTGGGCGGCAGAGCTTCGCTCGCCAAGCTCAGTAGTACTTTGGGGGCAGCTGGAAGAGAGGAGGAGAAGTAAAATCCCACAGGCATCACCGGGGCAGCAGAGGAGCCTAGAGCCTTCTCCTGCTGCACATAAGAGCAGGTTGTGGAGGCGGAAGTTCCCTCCTCAGTGAGGCGCCAGGCGGCGGGGGGACAGTGGTGGTGAGGGGTCCACCTGGATGCACGACATAAGGGGGTACGATTCCCACAGGTAACTGAAAAACAACAGCAAAACCAATTAAAGGCTGGCTTGCTTCTTAGCATCACTACAAGCCAGTGATGTTAGAGGCTATCCTGTTGAAACAGGCCTCCCGGTCGGGCCGCTCCCACGCCTCTCCTCGCTTTGCTACTGCTCCTCCTTTGGATGTGGTCCAAAAGGATGGGGGTGACTGGAGACAGCCGGTCAGTGCGGGGCAGCAGGATCCCGGGCTGGGAAACTTCTCAATGGAATTATCTAGAGCCCGACGGGAAACTCCATCTGATGCCATCTGCACTTCTAGGATGCAGACGGCATTCAGGCTGTGGGAATGCAGTCTGCCTCTCAGGAAAGCGCCCTTGTGTTTGATCCCATTCTGGAAGACACTCTCAATAGGTACATCCCTTTCCCTCTTCCCGGCATAACTGAGTCCTGGCCTCACCTTGGACGTCGAGCTGGATGATCTGTTGAGCTCGGTACAGGGAGGTTGTGATCTCGCAGATGTAGGTCCCCTCATCCTTCAGAGTGAGGCTGGGTAGGGTGAGGGAGGCGTCCCCAGCCGTGAGCAGCTGCTGAGGCTCCAGGGTGGCGCCCTCCCGCTTGGCCTGCCCCTGCCCCGTGGTCCAGCGGTACACCAGGTGGCCACTGCCCTTATGCTGCAGCCGCCACTCCACGCTGGTGATGCCCAAGCCTGGTGCCATGGAGAAGCCACAGTGCAGGGAGGCTGAGGACCCCAGCAGGAGATTCAGGGACGGGGTCTGTGTTGTCACCTGGAACTCCACTGTGGGAGAAAGAGGGTGATTGTGGGCCGCTCCCTCCTTGAGGCCACCTGATCTCTGAGCTGTGGCAGGCTCAGGGTGTGTTGAGAGGCAGCATGCATGCGTGGTACTCTTAACCATTTTGGAGTCACTTACCCCTTGCACAATCTGATGAAAGTTACAGACCAGGCAAATACATATGCAAAATTATGGCTTACTGGGACTTCTCTGGTGGTCCAGTGGTAAAGAATCCACCTTCCAATGCAGGGGACGCAGGTTCGATCCCTGGTCGGGGAACTAAGATCCCACATACTGTAGGGCAACTAAGCCCGCGTGCCACAACTATAGAGCTCGCGTGCCTCAATGAGAGAGTCTGAGTGCTGCAAACTACAGGGCCCACGCGCCCTGGAGCCCACGCGCCACAACTAGAGACAGAAAACCTGCATGCCGCAACTTGAGAGAAGCCCACGCACCACAACGAAGATCCCGCATGCCTCAACGAAGACCCCGCATCCTGCAACTAAGACCCAATGCAGCCAAAAAAATAAAAGAAAAACTTTTATATAAATTTATAAAAAATTTTGGGTTACTGTTGACCCTCAGGTTAAGAACTCCTGGAGTGGCTTCCCTGGTGGCTCAGTGGTTAAGAATCCGCCTGCCAATGCAGGGAACATGGGTTCGAGCCCTGGTCTGGGAAGATCCCTCATGACGTGAAGCAACTAAGCCCGTGCACCACAACTACTGAGCCTGCACGCCTAGAGCCCGTGCTCTGCAACAAAAGAAGCCACCGCAATGAGAAGCCCCCGCTTGCCGCAACTAAAAGAAAGCCTGCGCGTAGCAATGAAGACCCAACGCAGCCAAAAATAAATTAAAAAAAAAAAAGAGCTACTGGAGTTGCAGTCAGCTTTCAGAAGCCCGGCTCTTCCACTTAACTCCCTCTGTGGCCTGGCCAAGCCGCTCAGTGTTGCCGACCTCATCTGCTTAGAGCTGAGGAGACTAAAGGAGACAGAGCTTAAATAAGCACACAGTGGGGGTGTGTGAGCCAAACGTGCCGAACCCCAGTCCAATGAGGAAACAATCGGACAGGTCCCAATGCTGGGACACCTACAAGGCAGTGGCCCGGCCTCAAAATAGTTCAGGCTCTGAAGACTGTTCTGGAGTAAAGGAGGCTGAAGGGACGGGACAACTAAATACAATGCGCAATCCTTGTCTGAATCCTGGACTTCAAAAACCAAACCAAACCCCCCAAGGCTATAAAGAACACTACGAGGGCAATTGGAGAAGTTTGAATTTGGACTTCATATTGGATAGTAGTATTGTATCAATTTTAAAATGCCTTAAGTATGACAATCAGGGGCGGACCCAGCCATGGTGGCGGAGGTGAGGATGGTCCGCCCTGGCAGGCAGGCAGGAGTGTTTGATCACTGACATGGTTCATAACTGCCAGTGTAGGCTGATGGTGAGGATACGTTCGTCCATTATCTGCACACTGCACCCCCCTTACTGCCTGCACCCCGGGTAGACCACTCCCCACCTTGGGTTGCTGCCGAGGCGATGGTTTTATGATTATGGAGAACATTCATGTCTTTGGTTATAAACTAACACATGCTATCCATGGAAGCATTTGGGATGAAGTGTAGAGATGTCTGCAGTTTACTTTCAATTAGTTAAGCGGAGGGGAAATGGAGAGAAGATGAGGGAGGGGGAAAGGATGTGCAACATGTTAACAACTGGTGAATCCAGGTGCACGGTATACAGGTGTTTATTCTTTCACCTTTTTTTGTAGGTTTGAAATATCCCAAAATAAATGGGGGCAATGCCTAGCTATGCTAGGACTACGGTTGACACTGGACAGACATGAGGACCCCTTTTTTGATGTAGCAGGATAAATTTAGGTTGGACCACAGAATAATCTGAGTGTTCTGAAGCTTTCTAAGGATAGAAGGGTAGGCCCCTAATCTTCTCTGGATGTGGTTGTCTTTCTTGGAGGCAAAATATTGGATTCCATGAACTTTGGAGAAACCTATCATCATGTCCTCAATTTTCTGTGCCCTCTGAGATGTGCAGGGTTGGAGAGAGCAAGGACCAGGTTCTACTGATAGGAGATAATGAACAAATTCTGCGGGCCTGTGCTCTCCTCTCTCATCTTGACCAGGCTAGCTGTTCCCTGGGAAAAGCTGGCACTCTGCTCACTGAGACAGCTGTGGACAGCATATGCAAGTAGAGCGTCACATGTCTTATGTCCTCAAGTCACCTGGCCAGGTGAAAATTATCCCCATTTGGGGTCTTTAGGAAGAAAGGACTGAGGCCTAGGGGACACCCTGAGATGACCAATGTGCACGGAGGTGGACTTGTCCCCTTCCTTCTCCTACTATTCCCCCATTTCTGACCCCTTTAAAAAAATTAAAACTTTCTTTCTGCTACTTTTCATTTTCTCACCTTCAGTCCGCACAGTCCCTTGGGGGCTCAGGGGCAGTTTCAGCATGGGATGCAAGACAGCCCCATTCTCAGCATCCCCAAGGGTCTTCATCACCATGGAGATACTAGGTCCCTCTCCAGACACTACCACGTTAGTGATGAACCAGGCTGCCGTCTCCACCGTGGCCTTTGGCCTGGCCTGGAGAAAATAGCGGGAGATCTCACAGGTCACCTCTTTGCCGCTGCAGTCAGCATGGAGCAAGGCCTTGGCCTGGGGAATCTGTATCAGGTTCACTGGGGGAGAAGAGGGCAGCACAGAGATGGAGCTGGATAGAGAACACCTGGGCTGATGGGAAGCAGGTGTGGGTGGGTGTCCTTGGGAACTGGGCTCAGGAACTGGAAGGAGCCCAGAAGGACTGGGACACAGGGTGGAGGGCTCTTACCTGAGGCCTCGAAGGTAATGAGTGGGTCGTCCTCGGCCAGTGTGCCCCCTTGGAAATCCGTGAGGCCTTCCAGGGAGCCGTCGTCCGGCACTGGCACCTGCTTCAGCACCAACAAGGCCTTCACCATGTTCTCACTGATGGCGAAACCTCCACGGTGCCCACCTTCCCCCATCAGGAAGCAGTCCAAGATCACGTCCACTGCCCGCCACTGCCTTTCTACTGCAGGGAACAGGCTGGGATGAGCACCCTCTTGCCCAGAAAGTTACTTGTATACTTGTCGAGTCATCAAGGGGTAATCTTCCCCGTTCCTAGCTGCCTCTGCGAAGCTCTGATCCTGTTTTACCCAGCTCTGATCCTGTTTTACCCAGAACCAGCTTTCTGCGAAGCACCTGCTTCTCCAGGTACATACTTCTTGGTTTGAATTATTTAAAGTCCTGATTTCCCTTGCTCAGGGGGATTTAAGAAGCTTATTTCCACCTATCAATGGAAAGCTATCTCTTCAAAGGAATTCTCATCAAAAGCATATAAGTGAACAAAACTGCATTGGGAGAGGAGACGGGCTTGGATGCTAGGGCGTTGGCAGCCGTCTCAACTTCCCAGTCAGCCCCCAGGGTCTGCTCGCTCCGTGCTTTTTACAGGTGGCCTTCCCCTCCCCCACCTCTGGGGAGCACCTACCCCCCTCCGTGATCTCCTAGCTAGGGGCCCCCCTTCCTCTCCTGAAGGTTTCCGCTCCCAGGCCAGCTCCCTCTCCTGTAGGACAGGGGGCCCACCACATCCACCGAGGCGGCCCCTCATTCCTTCGTTTGGCCCTATCCCCAGAGTTCTCAGTCTCTCTCCCCGGCACAACTGGTTCCTTCCGTTACCAGCCGCCCACTTCCGCCTGTTGGGCTTAGAAGGCGATTGGAAGCCATTCCCGGCCCCTTTCCCCTTCTGCGACCTCGGGGAGGGTGGCTACCTGATGCTTCTTTAGCCCGACACGCCCCACCAGCCAGCCCCCGACTCACCGGCGTCTGCTGCCCCGGAGAGAGCCAAGCAGACCAGCAAGCACCACCCCTCGGAGCCCATGGGGGCTGCTCTCAGGCCCTCCTCCCGGGCCGCCCCTCCTCGTGCCCCGCGCCGGCCAGGTCCGGGCTGGAGAAGGGGCTCCAAACACGCCTGCCTGGCCGACCGCCTGGCCCTGTCAGTCCTCTCCGCCTACTTGGCTTTCGCTTTCACTTTGAGGAAGTGTCACCGAGGCTGCCTTGGCCTCTGGCTGAAGCCATTGGTGCTGGAGCCAGAGTCTGCTCACTGTTCTTTCCTTCCACCTTCTCCTCCGCAAAAAAAAATCCCCCGGTGATTTCAGGACCTGACTTCACCGCGTGCGCCCTTTTGCTCCCGACCAGCCCCAAGAAAGTCCAGATAAGGGACGGGAGGCAGGGTGGAGGAAGGGAGGGACTGACAACAGACTCAGCTGCCCGGTAGCCGTGACCTTTCCCCACTTTCTGTAGGCGCCTTACCTGCCCGCCCCCGCCCCAACCCCCGCCCCACCCCGCGTGGGCCCCAGCGCGCCTGCGCGGGAGAAAGCTCCGCCCTCAGATCGCGGGTCTGCGAGGAGGGTGGGTGGGGTCTGCGTGGGGAGACTGAAATCTCAGAGCCGGAAAGCTGCAGGCGCCTCTTTATTTCGCCGAGTTTCTAGGTCAGCGGTACACCACGTGGGCCTACCGTAGGCGGAAGTATGTCTTCCACCTGGAGCCCTAGCCCTCTTGCAGCACAGGGGTGCAGCTGACACACTCGGGCTCCCGCTTCCCGCCCCCCACCTCGTTCCCCTGGGTCCTCGCCACTGCCAGTCTCGAATAGGCACACAGGACAGTTTCCCAAGTCGGCACACACGAAAGGGTCCCGATGAGAGGGTAGTGCTGAAATTGGAGGTGCCGGCTCTCGATCCCCCTGGATGGCGGGTGGGTTGAGATGGAGGCTAGGACTTGACTGCAGTGACGGCCCCCCTCCGCCGAGCGCTGGCTCAGGGGTAGGAAGCGGGCTCTGGTTTTCGGTAATCCTCCTGAATGGGGATGGCACTGCCCTCTTCCTCCCTGGGGCAGCTGTAAGGACAAGGCTCTGCAGGCGCCACTGGACCTTCTCTCGTGTCTGAAGAGGGAGAATCAGAGGAGTGTTGATCGGCGGTGGAGGATGGGTGAAGGGAGAAGAGGTGAGCAAAGGCGGGCTGTCAGGAGGGCCCCAGCTTAGAGGAGGGGAAGAGAGGCCACAGGGTGCTAAAGATGGAGCTGGAGAGATTCAGTGAGGTTCCAGATAGGGAGGCAAAGCCGAGATGGTGGGGTGGGGTGCAGAAACCTGAATTTTGTCTCTTACTTAATCTATATTTTCTTTGTTGATGGAGAAACAGGGCTCCAACTATGGTGAAAGCAAGAAACATTCCAGAGAGGAGCACAAAGATGCGGATGCAATCCATGCTGCACAGGGACCTTTGGGCTGTGATGGGATGGGCAGGGGTCACAAGGGGGTTTGGGGGAGGGCCTAGCCCTTGCCTCCCCTCAGCCCAGCCCTTTGTCACCCCTGCCTCTCCCCTTTCCCCACCTTCCTCCCCTGCCCCCACCATTGGACCACGTCCTTTCCTAATCCCTGGACTCTGCTTCTCCCTCTTCTTACCCCTGTTCCTAGGAGCTTTCTGGCTGGCTTCCCTCCTGGACCCTCCTGTGTGCATTCTCTCTCTTGGGGTGGGGAGTGGGGAGAAAACTCACGTGACCAGTGGGTAGAGAGAGTTGGGGCAGGCAGCCACCTGGAATCAGCCAGAGTCCGCATATGCTGGCCTGTCCTGGCCTCTGGTATCTCTGGAAAAACAGAGACAAGATGGGCAGCCGCAGGGGGTCCCAGAGGGCACGAGGCTAGGCTGAAGGCCTAAGCGAGCCTGCGGGTACGAGCCTGCGGGTACGAAGGCCGAGACAGGCGGACGAGGCAATGTATGTGGGGCTGGGCATGGGAGAGGCGGTGCTGGTTGGGGTGTGACCCTTACCCCCAATGACCAGACAGAGGGTTGCCTAGAACTTACCTTCAGCATAAGGTGAGTGGGAGGGTTGTGGGTGTGGGCCTGGGGCCTGGGCTGGACCAACACACTCTGTACACTCCTTGTCCCTGCACTGCCAGCCCTCGGGGCAGGCACACTCCGAGTTGGCGGTGAGGGAGCAGTTTCGAATGAGAAGACCTGGCGACAGAGGAGAGGGAGGGAACACACAGGGTCCACTGGCTTAATCCCCTCCCTCACCTCCCAGGCCTGCCCCTCCCCCACTGTCATCCAGTGCCTTTGCCATTTGTGTTATTGTTATTCAAGAAAAACTCGGACCTTTTAGAAAATTCACGGTTCAGAAGTAGAAACAGCTTACATGATTTTTCCTCTCACTCACTGATGCTTTTAGAACTTCTTATTGAAGTATACTTATAGAGAGGTATACATGTCACAAGTGTAAAGCTTGAGAACTGGGACGAATTGGACTCACAGGTGTAACCAGCACCAGATTAAGAAACAAGATGACCAGTCGTGTTCCTTTTTAGTCACTAACACCGTCCCCACCAAGAATAGCTACTGACATCCTAACACCACAAGTTGGTTTTGCCAGTTTTTGAACTATATGCATGAATCATGCGCGTGTGCTCATTCGTGCCTGGTTGCTTTTACTCAGCTCTTTGTGAGATTAATCCAGTGTTGAGTGTGATTGCAAATCGTTCATTCTCACTGCCATCTAGTGTTCCCCTGTGTGAATACAACACCATTTATTCATCCGTTCTACTGTTGGTGTGCGTTTGGGTAGTTTCCAGTTTTTAGCAATTGGAAATGGTGCTGCTGTGGTCCCCAATAGGTTTTTAACTTTACTGATATCCTTTGCTTCTAAAATATAATTTGTATTCAAGTGTAGAGGTCAGGTGCTGGGTGGCTGCCAATCGGTGATACTGGGGGAGGTAGGTAGGAAGGGCGCCGCATGGGTTTGGGTTCATGGGTGTTTGGGGGTGAGAAGAGAAGTGTGACTCTGGGGGAGGTGGCACCCGGATGTGGGCCAGGCCTGAGCGCGAGCCTGATGGGGCAGGGTGCACTCATGAGAACCCAGGGAGAGGAGCCCTGACAGGTGGGAGACGGGTGCAGAGAGGGGCGTCTGAGGATACCAAAGACTACCATCAACCCTCCCAATTTCTTTAGTGTGCGCCTTTTGTCAGGAAAGGGTGTAAATTCCTTCTCATCTTTATGCCCCTTTGGCATCTCCTTTCTGAATTCTGACTCATGGTTGCTACTAGAACTTGGTTTCCTTGTGGCTCACCAGGAATTGTGAGCCAGCCTGGATAAGGATCTGCACAGGAAGAGCAGTGATGGAGGAGGGAACGGTGGTGGTGGAGATGGAAATAGGTAGGGAAGGTGAAGAAGATCAGGGAGGGTATCTGCCCAAAGGGATGGGAAGGGTTAAAGAAGGGGCTGGGATTGGTTAAAAAATGAGTGAAGGACCATTGTTTTCAATGGAGTCTCCAGAAACCTGGGAGTTCTCTTCGCCATGTATAACCTGTGCACAGAATTCCATGCTGATTTCAGGCACTTGTCCATCTTACAGATGGGAATACTGAGGTCCAAGAGGACCAAGCCCATTCAGCCTCTTTCCAGTGCCCTGGAGTCCTGCAGCCAGGTGCTGCCTGAGTGCTTCAGGGATCTGTGGGCTGAATCTCACAGAGGAGGATGGTGGGTTGGGCTGGTCTGGAGCAGAGTGGAGGGAGCTCCGACTGGCTCAATATTAGGAAAAGGCCTTCTACTGGGGCCTGCAGAGTGAGTTGGGGAGGCTTTGACTAAAAAAAAAAATCCCCATCTTGCCCAGGTTGTTGCCAAGAAGAGAGAAGCATCCATGAACAATCATATCTGTAAGTTAAGTAGACTGAGGAATACCTCTTGTGTATTTCATATGTTGCCGTTTGACTGATTTGCAGCAACAAACCCTTGTATTTATTTTCAAGAATACAGTATTAAAAGGCCTAGTCAGACTCAATGCATTTACAGGCGAGTAATGTGGTTCAGCTAAATCGTCCTCAAAAGTGTCCTGCTGGAGAATATTTGTTCAAAGGGGCCACTTTAGATCTGCTGATCTATGTACACTTGTACATACATAGTTTCTAAAATTCTAGCTAAAACAGAGAAATGATGAAAGTATTCATAACACAGCTGCTGCTATTTCATTTCTTAGTTTTAAAAAAGATGAAATTACAAAATACATAAAGACACAAGCCACATACACATTCATTCTCCTGAATTGGCTTTTGGACAAAAAGAGGGTGTTATCCACTGACTGGTATTGTTATGTCCTTAGAAAGGTGTATTCCAAGTTCCAGACCAATATGCACTCTGAGAATACAGCCCGTTCATCAGTGGGGAGAGGCTTGTCTAAGATCTCGGCTCCTACAGCAACTTCCTACTTTGTATTGTCTTGATCCTAGCCATAGACCCCTTCTCAGCAGACCCTCAAATTCTGCTTGCCCCTTCCCTGAATCACTTCACAGCTCTCCCTACCACATCAACACACACCGCCCAGGGTGCCCCGTTTCCCACCACGGACTCCACTTGCCATAGCCTTGAAGCAACTGAAGCTCCTACTTGCCCCCTCTTTGCTTCTCCATACCCACTTTGCTCCCCCAAATGCTCGCCCATCTCACCAGAGTTACAGTGCCGGCAGCTCTCACAGTGGGGCCGGGTATGGTGGTCTGGTGAGAAGGAGACCCCCGGTGTACACGGATCGCATTGAGTAGCCTTTTCATGCTGGTCACATTCCTTCACCAGGAACGTTCCTGTGAGCAGAGGTCCAGGGTCAAAGCCCAAGGAAGGCCGCTCCCTCACCCTCTTCAAGGTGCTGCCTCTTGGCCTCTGCAGGATTCTGCTCCTTGCTTGAGCTCAGACTCCCTCTCTGCGTCCCTCCACCCCAAGCCTGGTCCTCTCTCTCCATACTCAGCTAGACCCTGGCAAGGCCCCCTCTTACCTGGCTCGCACATCTGGCAGCACCGTTCTCCCTGAGCCAGGTAATGCTTTTCCGGACACCTCTTGGAGGCTGGGGTCGCTGAGAGCACTGCCAGGGGCCCCAGAACCCACAGCCAGCAGGGAGGTGGCCGGGCCATGGCTACTGCCCGGGGAGCTCTTCCTGCCCTGGCTGCCGACTTCGGGCCTTGGGGGAGCTGGCACCTCCCCAGCCAGGCGCTGGTGCCTCTTCTTTGCACCTCCCGGGCCTGTTTTCTTGGAGTTGTCCCCGAGTCGGGTGGCAGGCTGACCTTTGATGCAGTTGAAGTTCTACTGTAGCTGTTTCTCGCTCAGGCAGCTACCGCCACCCCTCCCCCTTTCCCATGCGCTGGGTGCTGGGAGAGCATTAAAGGGCAAACTGTCAGAAGACCTGCTCTCTTCAAAGACGCCCCTAACACGCCAGCCGCTCCATGGCCTCTGTCTCTCTTCCGCTCGTGAAGAATTTAACTCTGCCTGCAGCTTTTATAAAACGTTGGATGCACATGGACACGCACGCTCCTATTCAAGCACCTGAACACGAAGATGCCCACGTTGCCCCCTGTTCACAGCTGCGTGTCCCCACGCCTCTTCCCACACCACTTCTTACACAAAGATCAGCGGTTTAGGGAAGGAAGGGAAACCAGAACTGAGTGCGGGTCCGCACACTCTTATCTGAAACTCTTGGGGATCGGATACATTCAGAATTTTTCAGATTTGGGGAAGAAACCAGCATCACCCGACACCCTCACGGGGCTGGAGCAGCGCTCACCACGAAGCACAGCGTTTCTGCAGCAAAACTGTTGACTCTTTCAGTGGGGTGGATAACAACTATAGCCAGCCTCGCATCAACTGACGTCTGGTTTCATGGCCAAAAGAGTTTGCTATGGGATTGATTGTTCAGAATTGCAAACAAGGGACTTAAACCTGTGTCTCTTCTCTGTCAGGCTGTGTGCTAGGAGCTCACACATGATCATTTAACCTTCCTGCCAGCCTGTGGTACGGGTGCCACCCATTCCCAGCTGGCCTCCCTCACACTACTATCATTTTTTTTTTTGCTGTACGCGGGCCTGTCACTGTTGTGGCTCCTGCCGTTGCGGAGCACAGGCTCCAGACGCGCAGGCTCAGCGGCCATGGCTCACGGGCCCAGCCGCTCCGCGGCACGTGGGATCTTCCCGGACCGGGGCATGAACCTGTGTGCCCTGCATCGGCAGGCGGACTCTCAACCACTGCGCCACCAGGGAAGCCCACCTTACTGTCATCTTTATCCTCCCCTTCCCACCTCTGGCTGTGTTTGCCATTGGTCCTGGAGCACCTGGGCGTCTTCTCTCCCAACCTTGGGCACTTGGGATTAAATGTTGATCCTATGGGTCATTGTTTCCCTATTTCTGTGGTTCTCCTGGGAAGACTGATTTGGGGATATTGGAAATAGCTGGACTTTCCCCTCTTTGAGTCCCAGGAACACCTGGGTCATACAGGCCCCCCCCACCACCACCACCCTCTTTCCCCAGAGACTGGCTTGTTTCTCCAGGCCATTTTTTCATTCAGGGGCTTTGCCATTGTTTCCACACTGCTCATAAAATCTCACACCCCTGGGGCTCTTCTGTTAGATCTGTTCTCTGTCTCATTCTTCGGTTTCCTTTCTCTTCATTTTTTCCATCCTCCTGTCTTTCCCCAACTTCCTCTATTCTTCAGGACGGTCCTCTCAAGTGGGAAGCCACACAGGGGTGTGATTTGAAGAGTTACTTGTGCAAAACCATCCTTTTGGCTATATCTGGCCGAGTGCCTGAATTCCCTCCTCAGAGAGCGTTACCCTTGGGAACTGAGGATTTTGCTGTCACCAACAGTCCTGCCCGCATTCCCAGATTATGGTCTATATCTTCACTGTTAGTCTTTTTTTTCAGCCACACGGCTTGTGGGATCTTAGTTCCCCAACGAGGGACTGAACCCAGGCCCTTGGCAGTTAGAGCTCAGAGTCCCAACCACTGGACCGCCAGGGAATTCGCTTCACTGTTAGTCTTAAACTTCAAGGCGGGCATGGAGAGACATGTGGGGATGCAGGAGACCCTGGAAGGATGATAAGGTGTTGGGGGCCTTTAGGGAGGAACTTGCCAAAGGGGGAATTGAGGATGCGGATAGCTAACAGCCTCTACTAGACCCTGGGCTCCCCCACGGGGGGGTCTCCGTTCTCTGGGTCAAGGCCCATTCCCTCCTCTACTCATCACGTCTCTGGGCGGCTGGGGGGAGGGTAGGAGCAGGGTCTGCCTGGCTCTCTTGGAGAACCGCTGGCCAGGAGGAGGAAAGCCAGTTTTCTGGCCCTCTTTTCTGGATGAATGGAATGACTTCATCTGCCTTCTGTGCTTTTTGCACCAACTTCTGGTGGGCCTTGGCCTGTCCTGGGCTGGCCCCCTGGGCTGGACAGCCTTTTCTCTTCTTTACAGACCCTGCAGGTGCAGCCTGCTAACCTCTCCCCACCAAGTCCTCCACCATCACTTTCTCTTTGGGGTTCAGCTTCTCCCACTCCTGGCTGGGCCGAGATACATGGCCTCTTCCCAGCAGCTCCCTCCCTTTCTTGCATCTATGGAGACAGGCCCACAGAAGCCCTTCACCTCTGACAAGTTTCATTAGTTTTGAGAAGGTAATCTGGAGCAGGGGAGGTAGCCTGGATGTCAGCTGGGGTCCCCTTGCTCCTTATCCCTAGACAAGACACCCCGCGTCTTCCGGTCAGGGCAGGTCCCGGGCAGAGTGGGAAGAGGCAGTGCTGTGGACTTGCACGGATTCCAGTGGGTCTGGTGTGATGGTCACCTCTTCTTCTGCTTCCTCTTTCAGCTGAAGCCTTGTGCCTGCCTCTCTGCTCCTGAGAATTCCCGTACCTCTGCCCCACCACAGGCCCCAGGTTGGGGACACAGGGCTCTCTTGAATTTTCCTCTGAACCAACTATAAGCAGAAATCTGTTAGGTGTGGCAGAATTTTGCTGAAGCTTTAGATCTCATAAGGATACAAGTTAAATTGCATTTTGGATATTCTGGTTCTTAATGGTCCTTCCCACGAAGCAGTAGGTGCACCGAGCATCCTGGCTGTCCTCTCTCCTCCTTTTGCCACAGACCGCCTTTCAGAAACCTGTCAGGCAGCATCCCTCCACTCTCTTCAGTCCCTAATCCCCACATCAGTCTTGGCCTTTATAAATCTGTAAGCAAGTCCTCAGCGGAACTAAACTCTCCCTTAGAAGGAAGTTCTGTTCTATTACATAGGCATCAGAAATCGTATTCCCCAGTCTCATCAACCAAACCCTTAGTTTTTCTAGTCGTCTTTGTCTTCCACTCCATTCCTTCTTCTCCCGACCCCCCAGGCCCCCAACACCTTAGATACTCCTTCCCAGCAAGGCTTTGAGAGACCAACTAGGCAGAACAGTGGGGTGGGCTGCTTAAGGGTCTGGGTGCTCACATCCCAGCTCTGTAGTTTGCAGCCCTGGGACTCCTCAGTCTGGGTGACACGGGGGACTGACCAACTCTGGGCAGTTCTTCCAACCTCTGACCACTTTTCAGTATCTCAATCCCAGCTCCTAGTGTCTCCCAGCATGTAAGGCACCTTCTACATATGAGATGGTCCAGCCTCAGCTTTGTTTCCTGGCAGTTCTATCCACAATTATAACATCGAAGTTTTGGAGGGCCCAAGGCCACACTGACCTTGTAAATTCCACTCCTCGTCCATTTGTCAGGTATTTGTTGCATGTCCATTGTGTGTCAGGTCCCATCTAAGTAATGGGACACAATGATGAAAAAAAATAAACAACTGGTTTCTGCCCTTGTGGAGCTGACACAACAGTAAGAGGCAGACATTGATCAGGTCATCTCTAAGACACATGTGAAGTTATTAGCGATGGCCATTATGCCGCACCGTGAAGGGGAGAGTCAGGGCGCAGGGATGGGAGGGCTGGCGGGTGTTTCAGCCAGGAAGTAAGGTTTAGCTGAGGTATGTGGGCTCTGAGCTCTCACCTACTTGAGAATTGTTTCTTCCTTTGGTTTGGGTTTCCAGACACCACCCTATTCTTCCTTTGACCACTTCTCTTCTTTTGATCAGTGGTAGTTTTTCTTTTCTTAAATACAGATTATATAAAATAGGGGTGATCTGTCCCTTGAAGTCTTGGTAGAATTGTGTGTGTGTGTGTGTGTGTGTGTGTGTGTTTATTTTGAGCATCGGTTTTTCACTACTGATTTCAGACTTTCAGTTTCTTCTGGAGTCAGTTTTGGTAGGCTATATTTTTCTGGGAGATTGTATATTTAATCTGTTTTAGATTTATGGCCATAAATGTTTAAAATCACCACTGGATCTGTAGTTATTTTCTCTCCCAATATTTGTTTATAATTTCTCATTTTTTCTTGATACACTTTGCCAGAAATAAGTCTAATTTATTTATTCCTTCAAAGAACCACCTTTTGATTTCATTATTTCCCTATTATTATTATTTTTTTTTGCGGTACGCGGGCCTCTCACTGTTGTGACCTCTCCCGTTGCGGAGCACAGGCTCTGGACGCGCAGGCTCAGTGGCCATGGCTCACGGGCCCAGCCGCTCCGCGGCATGTGGGATCTTCCCGGACTGGGGCACGAACCCGTGTCCCCTGCATCGGCAGGCGGACTCCCAACCACTGCGCCACCAGGGAAGCCCCTATGTCATCCTTTTTTATGTAAAAAATTAGAAGTGAAAATGGAAAAAAATATTGAACGATTATTGATAAGACTCAAATTCCCTCTGATCGATCTCCTCCCCTCAGCCCTGGTCCTGGTCCTCTCCCTGCTCCCTCAGGGGTAATCACTGTTTCAGGTTAGTGGGGGTTCTTGCAGAACTTTTTCTAAACAAACAAATTATATGTGTGTGTTTTATTATTTAGGAACGTTCATGGCCCCAAATGAGGGAAGACCCCTTTCCCTTGTTAGGCTGTTGTTAATAAACAGGTTCTTTTTTTATAGCAGGGAATGAAAGTTCAGACCCCCCCAGAGACAGACATCTATCAGCAAAAGAAACAGATGGATTTTTCCAATGAAGTCCATTTTATTTCCTACTTAAAATATTATTAAGCAAAAACGAAATATTTCTCACTCTCTTTTCACACCCTCTCCTACTGAGGACCCTCTGTTTGAATTTCTCAAAGCAGGGAAGACCTCTGGTCTCTGGGGAGGTGGGCGAAGAGCCTCTTGCACAGCCTGTGGTCACTACTTCTCCCCGGTGAGGGGCTTACCCCCGCCTTTTATAACTGAGATGGTTGTTGGCAAGGACACCTAATTTTCGCTTTCTCTTTCTTATTTGGGAATGGGAAGGTACCTCTGTTCTCTAAAGGAAATACTATAC